TGGAGCAGGGATCCCAGCACCAGGAGACACCCCAGCATCGCTGGGAGCAGGGACAGAGCCCCCACTTCCCAAAGGCCCATCCCAGTGCTGGTGTCCATGGGGGACAGAGACAGGACACATTCCCAACTCTGGGAACAAAGGGATGGAATAAAGATAACCCTGCTCCCCCTAGGATAAACATTCCCTGTGTGGGAGCCACTCCCACCTTTCCTTGTGTTTGATCCTGGAATTGGGTCCTTGAAATGCCAATGGAATTCTTCCCCACCCTCATCCCATTCCCATCTTCATCCCCACTCTCATTCTGATCCTCATCCTATCCCCATTCCCATCCCCATCCCTATCCTGCTCCTCATTCCCAATCCATCCTATCCCCATCCCCATATCCCGCTGTTCCCTTCCTTCTCCCCACTTTGTGCTTCCCCACCTGCTCCCAAGTTTTGGGTGGGATCATCCTTCCCAATCCCAGCCTCCCGCAGCCCTCCCAGCCTGGCCTGAGGCAGCTCCAGCGTTAATTGTGACCCCTCAATCCGGGCTGAAGGGATTCCAGCCCAGGGAATGTTCCCGTGCCAGCCCAGGGGACGTTCCGGTGCCGATCCCGGATCCCAAGGTGCCAATCCCAGGAACCCCATGGCAATGATCTCACAACCTCATGGTGCCGATCCCAGGATCCCACGGTGCCAATCCTGGAATCCCATGGCACCAATCTTGGGAACCCCACAGTGCTGATCCCGGGATACCATGGTGCCAATCCCAGGATCCCGCAGTGCCAATCCTGGAACCCCGTGGTGCTGATCCCGGAACCCCAAGGTGGCAATCCTGGGAACCCCACAATGCTGAACCTGGGATCCTGTGGTGCCAATCCTGGAACCCCACACTGCCAATCCCAGAACCCCGCAGTCCCAATCCTGGGAACCCCGTGGTGCCAATCCAAGAACCCCGTGGTGCCAATCCCAGAACCCTGTGGTGCCGCTCCCGGGAACCCCACGGTGCTGATCCCGGGAACCCCGTGGTGCTGATCCCGGAGCCCCGCGGTGCCAATCCCGGGAACCCCGTGGTGCCAATCCCAAAACCCCGCGGCCCCACTCCCGGGAACCCCGCAGTCCCACTCCCGGAGCCCCGCGGCGCCGCTCCCGGAGCCCCGCAGCGCCGCTCCCGGAGCCCCGCGGTGCCAATCCCGGAGCCCTGTGGTGCCAATCCCGGGAACCCCGCGGTCCTGCTCCCGGAGCCCCGCGGTGCCAATCCTGGGAACCCCACGGTCCCAATCCCGGGAACCCCGCGGTGCCAATCCCGGAGCCCCGCGGCGCCGCTCCCGCTGACCTGCGAGCAGGAAGGTGATCAGGCAGGTCTCCTTGGGCAGGAAGAGCTTCAGGCGGGAGCCGCTGAACACGTACTCCACCACGGCCTCGGAGCGGCCGGCGCGCTGCAGGAAGGGCAGGAACTGCTTCGCCTTCTGCGTGTCCTGCGGGAAAACGGGACTCAGGCACCCGGAGCCCCGAGCGCTCCTCGTCCCTGTGCCAGCTGGGAGTCACATCTGGGCACAGAGCTGAGCGCCTCCGGCTCGGGATGGGCCATCCCAAACACAGCCCAAATCCACCCCGAAATCCCAAAGCCATCCCGAAACACATCTCAGAATACATCCAAAAATCCCAAATCCATCCCGAAACACATCTCAGAATACATCCAAAAATCCCAAAACACATCCCAAATCCATCCCAAAACACATCTCAAACTACATCCAAAAATCCCGAATACATCCCAAAACATATCCCAAATCCATCCCGAAACACATCCCAAATACATCCCGAAACACATCTCAAACTACATCCAAAAATCCCGAATACATCCCAAAACATATCCCAAATCCATCCCGAAACACATCTCAGAATACATCCAAAAATCCCAAAACACACCCCAAACACATCCCAAAACACATCTCAGAATACATCCAAAAATCCCAAAACACATCCCAAATACATCCCGAAACACATCTCAAACTACATCCAAAAATCCCAAATACATCCCAAAACACATCCCAAATACATCCCAAAACACATCCCAAATACATCCCAAAACGCATCCCAAATCCATCCCAAAATCCCAAAAATACCCCAAAACACATCCCAAATACATCTCAAAACACATCTCAAAATACATTAAAAAAATCCCAAATCCATTCCAAAATCCCAAAAATATCCCAAAGTACATCACAAAACACATCCAAAAATCCCAAACAGACCCCAAAATAAATCCTAAATATATCCCAAAAGAGATCCCAAACACATCCCCAATCCAGCCAAAATACATCCAAAGTTCATCCCTAAACCCGTTCCCAAATCCATCCGATACACCCCAAAGCCCTATCCCAAAATCCTATCGCTCCCCAAGGCCGCTGCCTGGACCAGCAGGACAGATCCGGCCCCATTTCCCCATTTCCCCCATCCCTAATGGAGCATCCCGTCCCTTTTCCCAGGATCTGCCCCTCTCCATCCCAGCATCGAAGGGCTCCACAGAAATCCTCAAAAAAATTAATGAATTGAGGAAAAAGTAAGGAGCTCTGCTGGGATACATGGATCCCCAAAAATCCCTCAGGAGAGCCAGGGAATCCCGGATTCCCACCAACATTCCCGCGTTGGCTCCACCACCTAGTTCCCAGGCTATGAGGCAACTCCCAGTTGATTTATCCAAGGAAAAAAGGGGAAAACCAGCCCCAGCAGCTCCCGAAACAAGGGCACGGTGTGGGTTTTGTCCCGTCTGATCCCCTGCGGAATTCCCGCGTGATCCTTACTCCGGAGATGTCGGCGACCCTGTGGATGGGCACCTCCTTCTTGCTGTGCAGCCCCTTCCCGTTCTTGATGGCCCTGGAGAGCAGAGGAGCGCCGGGAATCAGCTCCGGCCAGCCTCGGACGAGGGCTGGGATGGGGAATGCCGCACGCGAGGGCACCCACGGAAAACCCGCGGATGCCGGAGCGGCGGCCAGAGCCCCAATCCTTGTCCTGGCACAGGGATGCAGGCTGGGACCTTCCCCTGGGATGCTCCCTCAGGATAAGGCCCCTGAGCTCCCACCCGGAGCGTCCCCTCCTGCCCCGGGGCCCGGCCGGTTGGGAAGGGCCGGAGCGTGCCAGGATTCTGCCAATGGTCTGGGATGTGATCCAGGCGCTCTGAAGGGCTGGGAATGCTGAACGGATCCCCCAGACCGCTCCGGGCCCCGCACCACAACCTCACCCCCAGTCTGCCATTCCCACTGCTCCTGGCAGCACAACTCCTCCGCCTGCCGCCGGCACAAGCCCGGATTTGGGATGTGCCAAAGCTCCCAGCGGCCTGGATGGGCCACCTCCACCACCGGCCCCGCTCTGGGATTGGGTGGGAACATCCAGCACTTCCACCTGGGTGCATCCAGGCTGAATCCCAACCCCGGAGCAGCTCCGGGGTTCTCCTCCCAGAACATCCAACCCAACCCCGGAGCAGCGCCGGGGTTCTCCTCCCAGAACATCCATCCAACCCAACCCCAGAACATCCAACACCTCCTCCTGGGCACGTTCAGGCTGAACCCCAACCTTGGAGTGGCTCTGGCTCCAGGTGCCACATCCCAGCCTTGTATCCCACATCCCAGCCCCACAACTGGCTCCAGGTGCCACATCCCAGCCCTGTATCCCGCTCCAGGTGCCACATCCCAGCCCTGTATCCCTCTCCAGGTGTCACATCCCAGCCCTGTATCCCGCTCCAGGTGCCACATCCCAGCCCTGAATCCCGCTCCAGGTGCCACATCCCAGCCCTGTATCCTGCTCCAGGTGTCACATCCCAGCCCTGTATCCCGCTCCAGGTGCCACATCCCAGCCCCACATCTCAGTATCCCAGTGCCCCGTCGGCAGCTCCGAGCTGCTGACTTGCTGCCAGGCTTCCCAAAAGGCACATTCCAGGCGTTGGGAAGGAGCCTCTGAGCAATCTGCCGGCCGCCCACCGCCCGGGCACGGCGGGCTGGGAACGGGAGCGGCTTTCTCCGGATCGATCCGCCTTTTCCCGCGGCAGCCAGTCCTGCCCGGGAAGGCGCCGCAGCCCCCTCCAAGCTGCTCTTCCCGGCTCTCGGCATCGTGCCGGGATCTGCTGCCAAGGAGGAGCTGAGCTCCTGCCATCCCTGCCACCATCCCTGCCACCACCCCTGCCACCATCCCTGCCACCACCCCTGCCACCACCCCTGCCACCATCCCTGCCACCATCCCTGCCACCATCCCCGCCCAACGGAGCCGCCTCCGCAGGGAGCGGGGCCGGGCCGGGAAGGGCGCGGGATGAGGGACAGGGACACGGGGACACCCGCGGGGCTCCCTGCGGACGTGGGGGGCACTGGGAGACGGGATCCCCACAGGATCCTCTCCACGGGGAGCTGGGCTGCGCACACCTGGATCTCGTGAACACGGCTG